CCGATTTATGGCTGTTGTTCGGTCCCTGAGTGGTCTGACTTTCTGCTCAAAGCTAAGTCTGTCAGAAAGCAGTTCCACAGCATTGTCCCTGTGACCTACAACTTTGCTGGAAGTGCTGAGAGTGTGGCCTATACATCTTCACCTCTGTATAGCTGGAGTGCTCAGATTCCAGATGAGAATACAGATCATCCACAGGATCAGGCCATTCCCGTGGAGCAGTGCGTGCTGCAGGGACGGGTGGCAGCATTCAGCAGTGCTGCACTGGGTGACCGTGCTTGTCAGCCTTGCACACGGTGAGTAAAGGGAATGGTGCCTTAGAGAATCACAGAGTCAGTAAGATGGGAAAAGATCTCCAAGATCATCCTGTCCAGCTGTCCTAGCACCACAGTTGCCCACATCTCTCAGAGCCACACATCCGTGCTTCTTGCACGCCCCCGGGGACAGTGACCCCACCACCTCCCTGTGCAGCCTGTGCCAATGCATCACCACTCTTTCCGAGAAGAAATTGTTCTAATATCCAACCTGAACCTCCCCTGGTGCAACTGAAGGCCATACAACTTGCTGGGAAGAAAAGGGAGGAACGGATGACCTGGCTTTGCGTTGAGATGCTTTTGCTGAAGGAGACTTATCTCCTTCCAGATAACTGGCAGAGGATGCTGCAAGAGCTCTATCACATCCACAGAGTTACTGCCTGCCTTATATCACTGCAAGTTCTCAACACATCTGGGCTGAGAACGCTTCCAGTAACATTAAAGTGCACTGTTTTGGTTGGCACACTGACACGGTGGTATATGCCAATTAGTAATGGCTCTTGGAAAGGGGCTCTCGCAAACTCGCCCCAAACTATTCCCCGGAGAAATTATTCAATTAAGTACAACTAAAATTAATGTCCATGGGTTTTGTTCTAATAAAACAAAATAAGCAGCTGGAAAAGGGAAAACTTCTCAGTGTGTGCTTTTAAAATAACTCTCACTAATAACTGTTTGCTGGAATCGGTGCTGCTGTTTGTTTTCTGCGCTGCTCTTTGTGAAAAACCCGGTGAGCACTTCTGCAGCTGATGGCCTGGAGCTGCTCCTGCTCACCGGGGTGCAATTCCAAACCACGGCTGCCTTCGAGAGGATGAGGTGCTGTGTTTGGCATGGCAGTGTCAGGGCTGGACACAGAGACAACTTTCCCCTTCCCTTTCCCTTCCCTTTTCTTTCCCTTCTCTTCCACTTCCCCTCCCTTCCCCTTCTTCTCTCCTTCTCCTCTCCCTTCCCCTTCCTTTTCCCCTTCCTCTTTATTTCCTCTTTCCTTCCCTTTTCCTTCTCTTCCTCTTCTCCTCCCCTTCCCCTCTTCCCCCTGCTTCTTTACAAATCCATCCCTCCTGGGATGAAGAGCCATTCAGAACCCAGCTGGCCCAGACACCATCAAACCCCTGGAAATTAGCAGAGCAGCAGAAAGCTGAAATGTAAATAGGAGCACATTGGTTTGCTCCTTTCAGAGAAGTATTTTATGAAGTTCTGCCAAAGCACAGATGAAATATCATCGGTTGAGCTGGGAAAGGTGGGTAAGGGCTCATCCTGGAAGCAGGCTCCATGGGAAGCAACAGTGTCCAGGAGTAGTGCAGGGCAGAGGTTGGTGTGAGGGCAGTGATGTGGGGTTCCTGGAGCTGAGCAGACCTGGAAAACCAGGTGCTGTCTGCAGAGGTGCAGAGAAATTCCCATTCCTGGTGCTGTGGTTGTCACTGTTTCTCTCCTTTCTGCCTTGACGTTGCAGCTGGCACATTGCACAAAGGTGCTCTGGGTTTCTGATGTGCTTCCATTAGTTGTAATCTTCACTTCATACCGCTGGCATTTTGAACAATGCTTGCTTTGCTATTACCATGTAATTACGGGGTTTGGACATACAGAGGTTGGCGTTCCATATATGATTCATTTCTTTGGTATTTACCTCCTCCTGAAGCACTGAGACCTGATGGAGGGAGAAAGGCTGCTTGGCTGCTGTGCTGAATTCCAGCCTTATTGTAGGGTATTTTTTTGGTTGTTTTTTTTTTTTGCATAGCATAAAATGTTATGGCTTCAGCTCTCTCTGTGTTTTTCTTGAGGCTGACTGCAGTCCTCCAATACTCACAGTGGGATATACCATGGAGATGGGTTACTCATTGATAAATGCTATTGAACAGTCTGTAATTGTGAACCCACCAAAGAAAGCTCTGGGAAGGAGATGTTTGGCCATTCACGCTGCTCCACAAAGCACAGACCCCAGGCCAAGTGTGTTTCCCTGTGGGCTCCTTTGGTGCCTGGCTTTTGGGTTCCCTACAACACAGACAGCGAATGTGACCCAAGGGAGGGGTCACCAAAATCAAATGAAGCTTTTTAGGTTTTTTAGATAAAGCAGAATATCATGGAAAACCATGTGTGAGGGCAGGGAGGAAGGGAGCCTGGTTTTCCCCATGGGAGGAGGTTCCTACTGTGCAGGGCAGGGAAATGCCTGCAGCATTCTGCTGCTCCTGGCTGCAGAGGGAGAGGGCAGAGCTCAGGACATAGGCCCCCAAAAGTCAAAGCTTTCAGAATATATGCCTCCAAAGGTCTAATATTTCAAAATACAGCAACCTACTCTGTCTTATCACTGCTTGCTTTGCTGTTTCCTTTGCTCACAGATGCACTGCTTGGGGCTGCAGCTCCTGGCCGTGAAGGGCAGAACAGCTGTGGCTTTGTCTGGTTGATGGATTCAGGATCCTGGCTCTGGGAGTGCTTTTACTTTGTTGAACAACATCTATTGGTGCAGCCTTAATGTTCATAATCACTTGAGCATAAGCCCTTGGCCCCAGAGCACAGGTACCCATGCTCCACCTGCAGCAGCCATGGGACTCCTGCTGCTCACTGCTGCAGTGCCAGGCTCGTGCCAGAGGTTTTGCCTCCTGCCTTGGGATCCCTGTAGGGCTGTGCCTATGCCTGTGCCAGTGGTTTCAGTGTGGTTTGGAGTGCAGTGTGACAGAAATGTCCTCTGTATGGTCATTGGCAGCCTTTCAGCCCTCAGCCTGCTTCCCTGCTCCCTCGCAGAGGGGAAGCCTCGCTCCTTTGCTTTCCTCACTTTTCTGCCTGGTCAGGTGAATGGGAGCTAATAGAAGAATTTCCATCCCAAAGGTGATTCTTGCAGAGGAGCTGTGGGTCACGCCAAGGAGCAATACTGAGAGCCACCAAAGGTCTTCAGTGCTCTTACGGCTTTCCTAGCTGGGGGTTTGCTCTGGCAGCAGCTCTGCCTACCTAAGAATCCATCACTGCTTCTGCACAGCCTGCATTGCTGTTGCCTTCTGTTGGCTTTGTAGCAGGGAAGAATCCTTTAATCTCCATACGGATGGAGCGTGGCGGGGCAGGGCTGGCTGTGGTGCCAATGCTGTGCCTGGGGCAGGAGCAGCGTGCAGGTGGGTCTGCTCCAGGCACGGTCCCCGCTGAGACCCTTTGGAAATGACAGAAAGCGTTCCTGTGTGCATCTGTGATCATTTAGCTGTGGTTTGTGTGCCAGGATGTTTTCCAAGGAGGGTCTGGTCGGAGCTGGCAAGGGAAAGGCTCTCATTTCCCAGGCGTGCTTATCGTGCTGTCCTTGGCGGCGATGGGAACTTTCGGCACTTCTTTTCACTCGGAGGCAGCCACGGCAGCCCGCCCTGCAGGCAGAGCTGAGCTGGTTTTCCCATTGTGCTGAATCACACGGAACAGATAAAGTTTCCTCAAAATGTTGTTGCCCTGCGGATGTGGGACTTGGGAAAGTTGGGTGGGAGTGAAGGAGGATGAACACCTGAACTGGGAACTGGGCACAGGAGATGCTGCAGCACAGTGGGGCGGGCTGGAGGGCGTTCTTAGGAGGACTGTGCTTAATTCTCTTAACTCTCCAGGAGAGCAAAACATGGTTGAAATTTCCTCTGACTTCAGCACAGTGTGCAGCTGCTGGAGCAGGAGCTGATGCTGCAAAGTTGGTGCTGTATTGTGGTCGCATCCCTTGTAGACATGAGGTCCACAGCTGGAGCTGCCAGCAGGATTTGGAAGCACGAGGGGGATCTCATCAGTGCCATCGCCTTGCTCCTGGCATAGATGTCTGCAAAGTCAGGTTTGAAGGAGCACGGAATAACCTGCTCCAAAAAGACAGATGAGACTCACTAGGACAGCGATCAATAGCAGGGAATGTGCTGGGTGTGTAACCAGAGGAAAGCATTTTGCAATAGCATTCAGTTTGTGGCTGCTGTCCTCCTCTCGATTTTTCACACACACAAAATCATTCCTACCTGCAGATAGAAAACCACCCTTTGGGTTTGTGCTCCCAGGAACAAGCACCATCTGCATCTTGCAACTTGATTTAAGCATCGCAGTCAGCAAGAAGGAAATTTGGTGCCCCAGTGTGGCTTTTTGTATTACAAGTTCGAAAACCCCAGTCAATCAGCCCACCAGGCTCTTGGTCTGAGCCTTTACCCGGTCCTGTTTCTGTGACACAAATAAAGCTGTTAGGTGTGTGAGGTGCGTTGCCTTGAAATTTCCTTTCCCCTTTCTTAGAAATGGATGTGGGGGAAACATTGCTCACTTTCCTTTCTCCTAAGGACCATCTGGGCTGCAGGCAGTGCTGCCATTCCTACTTCCAACCAGTGGAACAGGGTGAGGCTTGCACTGCATCCTCCACTACTCTTGATTGGCATCTCACCGAGTGCTCCCAGAAGTGTCTAGGAAGACAGTGCTTCTCATTGCAGTGACTGCATAGCAGCCAAGTGAGCTCTGAGCACTGAGATGCTGTCTTCCAGGGACTGAGAGTTCAGATTTCCCATCCTCCTGTACTGGATGGCCGGTCTTGCTGTAGCAGGCTGCAGCTTTGTCCCTTCCAGCTGAATCTGAAGCTGCAGTCTCTTGCCTGGCATTGCCCAGCCCTCACATTGTGGTGCTCTGTCGTGCTGGGAAGCCGAAAGGTGCAGCTGCTTTTTCCTGGAGCCTCAGGCCTGAAGGGCTCTGGTTAATGCTGTGTTTCTCTTTCCCCAGAGATCATCGATGACCTCACGAACCTGGTGGAGAACACGGACAGCAAGCTTCGCACTCAGACACGGCACGTGAAGATGGTGGACAGAAAGTCAACGTCCTGTGGTAGGAAATGAGCACAAATCCCATGCTGTTACTAAATGGCAGTGGCACAAGTCATGCTCCGAGGCTGTGTGCTGTGCTTCTCCCAGGGAAGATTTCCTATGAAGGGAGGAAGCCATCTCTCCAACCTCCGTGTGCCTTGAGCCAGTGCTGCAGGCTCTCTGTGTGTCGGTTCTGTTAGCTTCCCTGCGCCATTTCGCTCTGCTGTTGCACAATGTTCTGATGGGACACTGTAGAACTGTGTGTAATTCGTGTGGTCCATGTTAATGAGGTTTAAAACTTGCTAGCTACCAGAAAGAAGAAATAGTCGCAGCAGGGAGTGGTGCTGCAGGGCGTTCCTGGTGGTGTCCTGCAGGAATGTGTCCCAACCCAATGGCACTTGGAGCTGCCAGGCATGAAATCCTCACTAGTGACACTTGGAGTTGCACGCAGGCGAGCAGAGCCTGCCTGTTTCATAGCTACAGCAAGGCAGTGCTTTTCCCATCAGTGAGAGCAGGTTCTGCGTACAGGTTGCAGTGCTGGGGGTGATGGCAGAAGACACACTGGCTTGGCCACAAGCTGGGTGAAGCAGAGCAGTGAGGGCACCAGCCCAGCAGCAGGGAGGTGTCCCTCAGGCACCGAGGGTATATTTGAGGGATTGATTTGCTTCTCCGTCACGTTTAGCTTGTTGTAAGCTTGGCTGGAGCAAATAGAAATCTGTGGTCTCTTCCAGAGGTTAAAGTGAACTCATCAGGGCACTGTCACCGATTTCTCATATTCCAGCTACAGGCAGAGCTGAAGATGTGTCTGCAGAGTTCATGACTGATCGTTTGTTTCAAATCTCTGATGCTGACTCAAGATCGATTTGATTTAAAACTAATTGGACTTGGATGATGCCAAGTGCCCTGTGCAGCCCCTCCATTTCTGCACCTGCACCCACAGTGGGGCAGGAGGCTGTCTGCAGGGAATGGCTTCTGCATGTTGGGTATTTCTCCCCCTTTCTGGGCTCTTAATGCAAATGCAGAGCCCAACAATGCTGCCAGATAATGAGCCTGTCTCTTTAACTCTAAAGGCCATGCGGGCTGTGCTGGGGAATTCAAGAGGAGGAGGAGGAGGAGGAGGGAGAGATGAAGGCTGGGAGGATCCCAGGCTGGATGCCTCGGGGGTGACCTCTCTCACCCTTTCTGCATTGAAAAACATTTTTCTTTAAAGGGTGGTGAGAAATGATGCCTCTTCATGTCTGCTCTGTCTGCTCCAATAGGTCTTCCTGTGTTTGCATAACAATTTGGATATATGTGAGCACTGTGTTGCCTCGAGTAGCTGTTTTACCCTGCCTAATCATGAGTTTCAGAACAGCAATGCTGGAAGATGCAGGCTTTGATGGCATTCTTCCCGCCCCTTTTCCACCCTTAAACCACCAATTTTCAGTGCCAGGTGTATGAAGTCCAGAAAAACTCTCCACATACACAAGAGTATTTGTTGAACAAAGCCAAGCAGCAGGAAGGCAGGCATCTGCCAGGTGGCTTCTCAGAGTGCATTTCTCCACTAACACTGCTTAAATTGATGAAGCCATCAGTAACTTTTGGTTTCTGCGCTGCACAGCAGCAATATGCTCAGTCCTGCTCCCCACATCTGTCCTGACCCACATCTGTGCTGCTCCAGTGTCTTTTCCTGTGTTTCCTCACTTGAAATCTTCACGTCTTTTTCTTTCTTTCCCCGATGAGTGGATGTATTGGAGCAATGGGCTGCGGATCCAAGCACAGCACTCTGGCATGAGCAGTGGAATAATCACCCTTTTATGAGCAGGAATGTAACACATTAATGGGCGTTCTTTGTTAGCAGCCAGTATAATAATAAAATCAAAGTATTGCTGATGAAATCCAATTCCCATCAATATTTCAATGTCTTGCTCTCATGCAAGCACCACTTGAGGCTTTGGGGCAGATTCAGGGATGGGTGTGACATCCTGCAGAGCAGGGAGCACCGACCTGGAGCTGCAGCCCAGCCCCACGCTCCTGGCTGGAGCCTCCAGGTTGTGTCGGATGCCTTGTTGCATTTGCAGCTTATTTGCAGTGACGTTTCTCTGTGAGCTGTTGACAGTCTCACCCTGGGATGCTGCCCATGGAGGCTGCCCAGCATGGGCCCATCTCCCTTGGTGTCCCCGGGCAGCCCCACGCTGGTGGCAGTGGAAGTCCCATTGATGGCAGTGCAAGAATGGCCATGGAATAGTTTATGTGCCTCATTTATGAAATTATTGCTGAAAATCATCAGTCATCTGCAGGCAAATGCTTGCACTCTGCTTGGCATTGTTTTATTTCCTTTCAGCGTCTGCTGGGCATTGAGAAGGGATCTTAGGGCGAACATATTGCTGAGATTTCCGAAACTCATCTGCAGCTTTCACCAAACCATACGCACAAGTCATCCATCAGCTGCTGGGCTGCCTGCTCCAGGCCTGGCTGTGCCATCCGAGCCCTTTTACCAGCGGCCCTTTGGGTTTGTCTGCCTGTCCCCGTGTTCTCCCAGCTCGTGTACCTTTGGGGTTTGTTGTGCAGAACAACGCTCGTTAATCATTTCTCAATAACGTTTTTATTAGAAGCTTCAACCCTCAGGATGTCCTCTGAAGAACTGCATTTAAAAATAAACAAATACAAGTATAATAACAAACAACTGGGAGTGTGATTCAAGTTGAGGTGCTGGGGGAAAAACAAATGTGCCCCAGACAAACCCTGAGCTGAACAGACCTGGTGACGTGGCGCACGGCTTTGTCCCTTCACAGTGCGATCCCCTCAAATCCCTCCGTAGTTTTGTTTTTTCTTGGTAGAGGTGGCCCAGCTGTGATCTCATCCATTCCTGTTCCTAGGAGGAAAAAATGTGTGGAGAGGAAAAGGACCGCCCCGACTGCTGCTGTCAGTGCTCCCAGCCCCGGGCTGCATCCTGTGCAGCACTGAGCCTCCCTTGGCTCCAGCATCATCTCCCACCTGCAGCACGGCACCTCAGCACCACCCATGTCTGTACACAGCACGCAGATTACAGCTCCCATCCGTCTCCTTTTCCCCTGCTCCACCAGATGGCAATGCAATCCAGCCGCCTCCCGCTGCCCCCGTCCCGCAGCCCCTGCAGCACTGTGGCAGCTCCTGGCCCTGAGCTTATCCCCCATCACCCCAGTACCCCAGTGAACTCAGTGTGAGTTCTCAGGAGGTCTCCTAGTTTTAAAGCAGGATACCCAGACTGCACAAGGTTTCTCCTAAAGAACCGTGATTCATGCCTGCCGGGCCTCTCCTGCCGCCCTGCTCTAATTACTGATTTTTGCCATGGGTTTAATTTGCAGTCAGGGCTGTGCAAACAGTCGCTCGGGTTTGTTCCCCTGACATGCACCGTGTGCTCACAGGAACAAGTGCTGTCCTTTTTTTGGAGCATTGCAGTCGGTGCCATGAGGTCAGCCTTTCCTGCCCGCTCCTTTCTGGGATTCCTCCCCCCTGCAGCGGCTCAGAGCCTCCTGGATGGGACAAATCCTTGCCCTGGCAGCTGTATTTTCCTGCTTTATATTTTTCCCCTTCTTTATTTTCTCCCATAAGCACTGATGTGTTGACAAGCTTGTTCTGGGCCGTTACCGCTGCGAGAAAACTTTGCAAAGGAGTGATTTCTTCCTCTGCTCCAGCTCCTTTTTGCTCCACGTGATAACACAGCCTGGGGAAGGGCAGTGCCAGCAGCATGCTGTGTGTGCTGTGGGGGGCATGCTGCTGTGCCCCCTCCTCACCCCACTGTGCCCACAGCTGAGCGGGGCTGACACTGGCAGGAGGTGGAGGTCACAGAGATAGGTGCTTCCTCCAGGTCCACCTGGCCGTGTCTCCTCGTTAGCACTGAGACCCAATTAAGGGTCCTGCTGAGGGGGAGAGTGTGGGGGAGCTGCGTCTCGTTAGACACCAAGGAAACCTCAAAGCAGATGAGCTTAGGGATGTGGCAGCAATGGGGCTCGTTAATTATGTTAATAGGACAGCTTTTGAAACAGGCCTGGCGGTTTTGGTGCTGAACCATTCTGAGACTTCTGTTTGCTGTCTTACCATTTTGTTTTCCCAAAATATGAACGGCCTTTCCCTGCTTCAGTAGCTCGGAGGCCCAAGGGAGCCACCTCCTTGTGCATTCTGTATCATTCATTGAAGCATTTGGCTTAAAACCACTCGCGTTGGGATGTTGAGGTGGATCAGCTGGTCAGAGGTGCTGGATCTGAACACTCATCAACAGCCTTAGAGCAGCACCAGGGGCTGGAGCTGCCTGCTGCCCGCTGCCCTGCTGCCCTGCTGCCCGCTGCCCTGCTGCCCTGCTGCCCAGGTGAGGGGCTCAGCACTGCTGCTGTAACTGCGTTGAGCACTGAAGGACAGGAGGAGCCTTCTGGGTCATAGCATCACTTCAAGATAAATTTCCCAGAACAAGCTCGTTTCTTCCCCCCCATTACTCCTATTGGGAGCTCACAGTGGTCATAAACTTATCCCCAGCCTAAACTTGTCAGGGATACTTCATTTAGTCCTTGTGCAGCCCTTGTTCTGGTGTGCCTTGAATAGTCACTCAGCGTTCACCCCCTGCTTTGTCTGTGGGGCTGGACGAGCATCATTACATTTAAATCTACTAAAATAACCCCTGTTCTGACAAGTCCTTTTTTTGTGCTTCTTCCTACTTGAGTTTTTGCCTCTCTCAGACAAGTCTCCATGCCTGACGTGCCCCAGCAGTGCTCTGGTTGTCTCCCTGCGCCTTTCTCGTTCATAAGAATTTTCCACCTGAGCTCATTATCATTCTGGCTCATGGCAAAACGGAGTGTTTGTCCCACATGAGTGCCTTCCCCTTCCGTCCTGTCAGATTCAGCCTTCTCCATTTGTCTTTGCAGTCACCCATTTTGGACTCCCAGCTCTGCTCTGTACCGATGGCGCTTTCCAGCTTTGTGTCATCAGCGCGTTTCATTAGCACACTTACTTTCTGTGCCAAGGTCATTAATAAAACCATTTAATAAGATCAGCCTCCGGACGGTTCCTCCAGGAGCTCCTGCACTGACCTCCATCCATCCCGATCGCTCTTTCAACGCCGCTTCACCTTTCACCACTTCCTGGCCTTACAGTTCTGCTAATCCCCGTTTCTTTTTCGGTTCCTCATTTCCCACGTGGCTCTGTATCACACCTTGCCAAAGTCTGCGTGGATGGGATCTATCACACTTCCTTTGTCTAGAAAATTCATTATCTTACCAGCCTAACCTGATTAGCTCTGTTTGATCTGATTTCCCTTCAGAACGTTCCCATTGTTTTCTACCCTGTTTACCATTTAGCTTCATGCTCTAATTAGTCTTTCTGCAGTTTGCTCTGGAGCCTTCATCCTGCTGGGGTTAATCAAAGAGGCTCGAAATGCTCACATCACTTTTTCCCTTCTGCCGTGGTGCAGCGGTGCAGATGCGCTCTGCTCCCCACTGCTGGGCAGGCAGCCCTGGTCTGGGTGCAGCAGGAGCTGCTGCCTTCCGTGCTGCTCTGTGCTGGGATGTGTACACAGCAAGGTTTGGAGATGCTGGCTTTGAATGGAGTGACTTGGAGCCCTGTTAGCATCATTCCTCCTGGCTTCACCAGCCGCCCTGGTTCCCTGTGATTCCCATCGCAGCCCACATGCTTGGCTCAACGTGCTGAAAAAACAGCAGTGTCCTCTCAGTGCTCAGACCCCATTTAAACTCCCAAACGATCTGCAGTTTGAGAGCCGATCCCCACATGTAAGGCACCATAAAGATGGGAGAGGAAGCCGCAGAGTGGCACTTCTGGGGCTCATTTGCAGCGCACAAATCAGGCACAGGTTCAGGCCTGAAGCTGGGAGGTGGCAACCAGTTTGAATGTCCCCCCATTGGGAAGCACCTAATGTGCCAGAGAGGGAGAAGAGGGGGGCATGGAGAGGAGAGCCAACAGCAGCAGACATCTTCTTAATTACATTTGCATATGCAGCTGTTCAAACAGCTCCAACTTCATCAGTGCTTGTTCATACCTATCAGGAGATTTAGAGCAGCTGCTGTCAGCCCGCGTAACAATATTGTACCAGGCTGGTGGTGAAATGAGCCCCTGGGCAGGCTGTGTGCCCGGGCTGTCCATCACACCAAAAGGCCTAGCAATTAGTTGTGTTTGAATATGGGGAAAAAAAAAACACACACTAGGAATTGTGTGAAATATCCCAGGGCGACTGCTTTACAGCTAGGTTTCCAAGGCTACATGTTGCAGAATTAAATCATAAATTTGTATTTCTGAAAATGGTGCTGAAATGTGATAATTTGTACAGCTAAACTCGCCTCCTCCTGCCTTTTCCCTCCAAACATGCTCAGCGACTGATGATTGCAGTGCCTGAACTGGGGCTGGAATACAGCACAGTTTTGGGCTGGGGATTTTGTGCTGCAGCGAAGCTAAATTGGGGGGGACCCATATGCTTCACACAGTGCAGCTGTACCCAAAGCACCAGGCAGGGAGCGGGGCTGCATCTGGAGCACAGCACTGCCCGCCCCGGGCACTGGTGGCCACAACAATACAAAGGATGTGGTCAGTGGAGAAATGGGCTTGCGAGGGGCAAAGCACTTATGTTGTCTCTTCAGGGCTTTCTGAGATGCATAGATGCCACCAGAAGTGGGGTTTATAAATCAAGAGGGGCTGTGATCTTACAGCTTTGTTTTGCAGGAGGACAGGCAGTGGTGGGATAGCTGCAGGCTTGGAGCTGCAGAGAGGGGATTGCCCTCCTGAGGGGGTCAGACCTCGGGGTAGTGTCTGCCATGTCGCTTTAAAATTAGGTGAATAAAGGAGAAAATCAGACTGGTTCATGCTGTGTTCATCCCGAAGCGTTCAAATGGCAGAAGTTAAGCTTCCAGAAGGGAGTTAATTAAAGCATGTTGTGCATCTGGGCTGGTTTGGGTGAGCCGTGCACAGGGCTGTGTGCGTGGAGTGGTCAGAGCCCCATTTAGTGCTGTATTCAAGTGCAGCTTTTGCAGATTGCAGTCCATGGCTTTGACATCACTCTGACACGGCTGGAAGGTGGGGCTGCAGCCTAATGGAGCTTCCAAGGAGGTGTGTGTGTAGGTGCTGGGCACCCACCGAGGGCCAGCACCAGCCCAAGGCTGCAGGCATGCTTTGCAGCTGAACATGGTGCTGTTGGGTGTCCCCCTGTCCTGCAGCGATGGGCACAGTGTTCCTGCTGTTCCTGTAACCCTGCTGCAGCTCAGGTTTGCACCGCTTCCTAAGCCCTCATGGTGCCATCAGTGTGGCCATGTCAGTACGGTGTCACTCCTTGCAGCAGGGGCACTTCATCGAGCTGGATGTCCTGCAGACCATGCAGCAGCAGCGTCCTGTGCAGTGCTGGCAGAGTGGAACCCACCTGCACCTAAATGCATCTGAAACTTTTTGCTTTGGGACTGGAAGGAGGAAGGGGTTTGTTTTGCAGCTCGTGCTCTGACTTTGCTGTGTAGTCCCGGTGAGCACTGGGACCGGCAGAGCAGCTGCAGGTGTGAAGCTGTGCGAGCCTGCGGGGGGTCAGTGCCACATGGGTGTCATGTGCAGCATCCCTGACATCCCATAACACGGGAGCTGCTGTTTCGCAGTGATCATCTATCTCAACAAGCACCAAGCATTGCCTTTTTGGCAGGAAAGTGGTGCCGTTTGCTCTGTTTGAGCAGAAACTTCATTTTCCAAGCCACGCTTTCTATAACTGTCTGATTCTTACGAAGCCTGGGAAGCCTAAAACTGGCTGTCATTCACTACAGCAGCCTTTCGCAGGACATGCGAGCAAAATGGCCTTAATTATTTTACCTGGGTCGTTTCCTGGTGATTAAATCCCACTTACCACTCAGCTCCCGGGGATGGGCTGATGAGGAGTGGTGCGGGCTGTCCCTATGAGTGCCCTTTGCTGCTTCTTTGTGCCCTTGGCAGAGGTTGGCTCTGCAAACGCCTCCTCCCCTGATGCTTCCTTTTGTAAGAAGCCTCCAGAAAATGCTTATTTTAACCTGCTTTCTGCATCCACGGATGGACGGTTTTATATGATGCCGACAGTGCCTGCTGTGATTTTTATGGCCCATAGTTTTCTGAGCAAATGGCTTTGCTCACGAGTTGGCCGGGCTGCGGTGACCTTCTCTTGTTCATTAACTGTCTGTTTAAAAATATGCATGTGGTGTTAGTTATAGAGCATTGATTGGGGTTATTCTAGGTGGTGCGGGGAGGTCTGCTCCTTCCCTGCCCTCCTCATTACCAAGCAGAAGCGACCGCTCGGGGCCTGGTTTATTTACCTAATAAACTGCCTCTTGTATCATGTAGGAAATGCTTACATTTTTCAGCCAGGAGATCCTAGTAACAGGCAAACAGAGGTCTAGCAGTCGGGTCTGGAGAAACAACGAAATGAAGGTCAGCTCCTATGGCTGTTATTCTCCTTCCCGGTGGCCATGACAGCAGGGGTGGTTTATTTGAGGATCCCAGACTCGGAGTCATTGCTCGCATTGTTGGTCCCCCGAGCGCGGGAGGCTGTGCCAACAGCTCAGGATATTAATGCATTCTACAGATCAGTGAATGGAGAATTCCTCTGCACTCCTTTCTTTTCCGAAAAAAAATAAAAAAAAAGTCCTCCTCTCTCCCCTTCCCCCTGCACTTTGTTTGCAGAGCTTTGTCTGCTGAGCGTTGCTGGGCATCGCTAATGAGCAGGGAGGCATCGCGCTGCGCTCCGGGTCCCACTCGAGGTGAAGTCCTCACGCCAGGCAGGTGCACAGCCATCCACGTGCAGATGTGCAGGGGCTGAGCAGAGCTCCCTGCTTCTGCATGCACCCTCCTTCCGTTGCAGGGATTGCATTTAGGGATTTGTGATATGTTCTCTGATCTCTCGTGGAAACGTTAATGAGATGAGAAGTGCTGAAGAGCTCTCAGGAGCGCTCAGCACAGCAGCCCCTTTGTTCCCAGGCACATCCAACGCGGCCGGCGGGGCCGGGGCAGGCTGGGCAGCTGGGCTGTGCCTACAAGGAGCTCTCAAAGCTGGGTCTGCCGGCGGTGCACTTGAAGTGCAGGCTGAGGCACCCACCGATGGAAGCGGGATGCTGTTAGGCTGCCTTTCACTTAGGCTTAATTAACGAACAGCAGGCTTTGTCCCCGGGAGGCCCGCTGGGTGTGAATGGACCCGGCTGTGTTGGCAAACTGTGGCTGCAGCAGGGTGCATTGGGTCAGCCCTGTGTGCCCCCAGCCCATGGGGAGCTGCAACTGGAAGCCCAGGAGAGCTGCTGTCCTCAGCCCCGCAGGGAGCAGAGGTTGAGGCACAAAGGGTGATCTCCCGTTCTTTCTGCCCGTGCTGTGGGTGTGTGCACAGGGAGGGATGTGGGTTTGAAATGTTACGGGCTGGTTGGGCAGTGAGCTGCCAGGGGAATGGCTCACGAGGCGGGTGGTTATTACAGCCTTGGAAATCTTCTGAAGGAGCCCAACCGATGCAAAGCTCAAGCCTGTTCAGAGACTGCGGGATGCACCTGATCACAGCATCATGGAATCATGAAGGCTGGAAAAGACCTCTAGGATGACCAAGTCCAACCCCAGCCCACCCCCTCTATGCCCACTGTCCGCGACCCTCAGTGCCACATCCAATCTTTCTTGAACACCTCCAGGGATGATGACTCCACCTCCTCCCTGAGCAGCCCATGCCGGTGCATCACCATTCTTGTTGAGAGCAAATTGTTCCTAATATCCAACCTCGACCTCCCCCGGTGCAACTTGAGGCCATCACCTCTCTATCACTGTTACCTGGGAGCAGAGGCTGACCTGCACCTCACCACAACGTCCTGTCAAGGAGTTTGAGAGAGCCATAACATCTCCCCTGAGCCTCCTCTTCTCCAGACTGACCCATCCCAGTTCTCTCAGCTGCTTCTCATCAGACCTGTGCTCCAGACCCCTCACAGCCCCACTGCCCTTCTCTGGACACGCTCCAGGGCCTCCATGTCTTTCTTGTATTGAGGGCCCAACTGAACACAGCACTCCAGGTGCAGCCTCACCAGAGCTGAGTGCAGAGGGACAGTCCCCTCCTGCTCTGCTGGCTGCACTGCTTCTGATATAAGCAAAGATGTTGTTGGCCTTCTTGGCCACCTGGGCACTCTGCTGGCTCATGGTCGCCTGAGTGTCCACCAGCAGCCTCAGAATCTTTATCTCTGTGCAGCTTTCCAGCCACTCTGCCCCAAGCCTGCAGCAGTGCATGGGGCTGTGACAGAAGTGCAGGATGCAGCACTTGGTCTTGCTGAAGCTCATCCCGTTGGCCTCAGCCCAGCCATCAGCCTGTCCAGATCGCTCTGTAGGGGAGCAGAGTCAGCTCACCTGGAGCAGAACATGCAGAACTGATATGAGCCTGTTCGGGGCTTGGTGCTGGATGCTGTGCAGCCTCAACTGGAGAGCACCCAGTGATACCAACAGCTTGGCAGGTGCTGAGCCGAGGCTTTGCCAGCTGCACTCTGGGGGAGTTTATTGGGCAGAGTAGAGTGTTCACATATCAGTAACTTATAAACTCGTTTTTACTTCCTCAGCTGAGCAATTCCCATGTCATGGCTTGAGATCGGGTGTGATGTAGATAATGGGAAATGGCTGCAGGTGATAACTGCTCCCTACTGCCCTGCTCACCTGCACTCGGGAGCCTGTGGTGCTGCTGTTATTTGGAGTGCTTCATGTTCTCCCTGCCCACAAAACGCCCCACCAGGTGAGTGCTTTGTGCAGCACGACCTCGCAGTACAAAGGTTAGGATTTTAGCGCAGTCCCTTTATACACGGGTTTGTATAACTCTCCCAAATCAGCAAGAGAAGAGCCACCAGGTTCAGAGAGTCTGGAAAGCGTAAGCTCTGCACAACCAGAGGCTCCTGGCTGCATTCATGGGCTGTGTGTAACACGGAGAGGCTTCCAGCTCCTGCAGGGCTGCCTGTTGTATTGCTGCAGCGTTTATAATGTCTGTGGGGATCCCAGCAGACAGCGCTTTGTGTTCAGCTCTGGAGCATTAGCAAGGCAACAGCACTGCTAGAAAGTTTTGGAAAAGCACCTTTTCAGAGCCAAAGTGACTCATTCCCACTCAAGGAGCAGCAAATGTTTTTCTGGCGTTTTCATATTTTTTTGCATTTTATTTATTTCCCTCCTCGATACTGAATTAAAGGCTCAAAAACGAGGGGGAAAAGGGCAACGTTTGGGCTTTCCCCAGTAACGGCAGCAGTGCCAAGTGGCTCGGAGGGGCTGGTTTGGGGCAGGCTGTTGGCCCAGCACTGTAAACACTGACGTTCCCAATGTCCTGAGAAGGAGCGCTCGGTTCCTATTTGTGAATTTGGAGCTTTTGTGCCTCTTTGTGCTTTCTGATTCAGAACGACTTCACTCGGGGGCAGTGTTTTGAGAACATGCTGCGGTGGCGTGGGAGCTGGATCAGTGTTTAATTAAAGTTGATCCCCAGCCCTCGCTGGAGCGCGGGGTTGGGGCGCGCCGTGCGGGGCAGCGGTTCTCAGGCGCGGGGCTGCGTGCTGCCCTGCTCGGCTTCCCACGTCCTTCAGCCTGCTGCCCAAACCAGGCCAGACTTCACACCCAGTGCTCCCTGCCCTTCACGTCGAGGCATTGGAACGCTCTCCTTCGCTCTGACCTGTGGGACTCTTCTTGCCAGGAATTCGGCTCCGTTTGGGGCTGCCTTCCAGGCGCTAAGCATGGCTTGCTCCATCAGCACCACGCTGCCCTGCCGTCCTGCCTGCATCTTGGCAGGGCCAAGCGGTGATTTGCAGAGCAAACAGAGGGAGACCTGCCTCGTGTTACACCCCACTGCCCATGGTTTTTGATATCACCACAACACTGCGTAGATTTGAGCTTTGAAAACTCCAAGGCAGGAGTCGAATCCATCTTTTCTGAAGCCCGGATGTGTTCCTGCAACGCGCTGTGCGGGAGGGATGTGGTGGTTGCTCCTCTGCCCCTCCCTCGTTGCATTTTACAAACCTCATTCTATTTTTCTTTCTTGCCCTGGAACTATTTGACGAATTTGACCTCGATTTGTAAATAGTTTTGGTGTGACTGGAAACGGGTTTTTGTGTGTTGCTTTTTGTTGTTGTTGCTGCCAGTGAATTTATGAAATGCTGAAAGCGTTTCGCCCTGCTTCATTGAGAGCTCCATTTTCTCTTCTGTACATCCCCACCATGGTCATAGTTATTGTTCCATGGGCTGCACACTTTGTTCTTCATCTCTTCCTTTTCACACCTCCTTCCCAGTGTTACTATTTGTAGCTCTGCTGTTTGCTTTGTTTATTACAAATACTTCCATTTGGTGCACAGAATTTTGCTGTGTCCTCTATGCTACCTCCTAACGTGCTGGAATGCTTCATTTGTTTGCCATCACCTGTGGCACTTCACAAGTGCTCATTGCTTTGGTGGTTGAATGCAGTTGTGTAGATGAGTGCAGAGTAAGTTGCTCTCTTGTGTACTTAAGCTGCTTGCATTTGGGCATTCGTAACATATTTGCACACACATCTTAGTGGTTAATGCTCTGGGAGAGAAACCATATCGTGGAATATCTTGGATGTAGTTCAGCCAGCATTGCACAGTGATGAAAAGCTGTTCCTGTGTCGGGATGCCTGGGCCTGCTCCAGCCTGGGCTGCATCCTCCAAGCTGCTGCTGGGATTGTGAAGCAGGCGGAGGATCGCACCGCTGATTGCTTGAAGTGAACGGGGAGCTGGTGAGTCTGGAGTCCTGCAGGAGAGAGGATTGCTCCGTGGGAACTGAGATAAGGAAGGCTGGATTCTCTGATCAGGTCGTCTGAGTGGCTTGCTTCTTTTTGAAAGACCCTTAGTTTTCATTACCGGAGGAACCAAATGCTGGAACTCATCTTCTAAGGGAGCAGCAGTTCAGCAGAACTGATTTTCCTGTGCTATTGCATGAGAAGGTCAAGGGGTGCAGCCGGCACTTTGGTGCTCATCTTTAGTCCTGCAGGTTCTAGCACAAAGCAGAATGCTTCTCATCAGCGCTTGCAGTTGGGTGCATCTGGATGTGAAACGGCATCCCAGCCCCAGCAGCACCCAATGGGGCCACGGGGCCTTTGGTGGCAGCAGCACATGTCTGTAGGTGGGCATGCAGGTATTTTTATGGGTTATGACTGGACAGGTTTTACAATGTACGAGCTCCAGTCGTCTGCTTCCTTGCTTAATTTGGCAAGGTTTGTGTGGGAGGACCGAGCGTGAGGTAAGGGGTAGTTTTGGCTCGGCTCTGCGCAGGGCTGGGTGTGGTGGTGGTCTGGCTCACCTGAGACACAAGTTGGCTGAGATATGGGGAGGACACCCTTCTGAAGCCTTCGTTCAGCATCGGCTGAGAAAAAAATGGGACGTCAGGAAGGCAGGAAACGTGTTACTTCCAGGCAGGCTTCCCATCTCTGTGGGCTCACGTGGCCGGTTCTGCTTTCCCTCCGGGGTTTGTGCTCTTCTGCCAAGGTTCTTGGAAGGTGAGAGCTAAAAAAAAAAAGCGTGTGGTCGTGAGAGATGGAGGCAGGAACTGGTGCAGTGATCGCTGCAAGGAATTGCTCTGCTTTGCTGGCTCCATCCTGCAGCAGCCAGCCTGCCTGGCAGCTGCCTAATAGGTGCAGTGCTGCTGTCCCCACCTGGGCATTACATACCATCCATCAGATGAGACCCCTTCACCACGCTGTCTGCTGGATCCACTTTGCTGACTTTTTTTTCCCATTCTCAGCGCCTCTGCTGAGCTCCCAGGGTAGGCAATAGTCCCTGTGGTGGAGTTTCTGTGGATAGAGGCAGCCTGCACTTCAGCAGTCCTGAACTAACTTCTTGCATAAGAGACTTTCTCTGAGAGCTATTTTTAAAGATGTGGCTTTGGTAAAAATACCCCAGGTGGGAGGGAGAGCTTGCAGCAAACTCTCACCTTCGAGCGCTTGATGGGGTGACGCCCTTTGCTTTATATAGATGGAGAAAATGGGGAATTTGTAATTCTTCAGATAATGGAGGGCTGCTGAATAATGCTGCATAGGAGTCTTTTAAAAAGAAAATGAAGTGTGTTGTAAAGTGAAGTCTGGAACATGTGTGGAACAGCCTCTCCCCAGACTGCTGCTGCAGCCAGTACTCATTGCAAGAAGATGTTAGCAGGGGGCAAATGCTGCCCGTTTGTGCCACCACTGGGGCAATGGGTTTCCCTAAAGTCAGTCCACGTATTCCTGGGAGAGTCCTGAGATGGGGTCACCCATCTACCATGGGGCAAACGGGCCTTCGCTGGGAGCTTGTTCCTGCAGCTCCCTGCCTGTCTCTCATGGGCTGCTCCCCATTGCTGTTGGAACAGCTGGCCTTCTTGCCACAAATCGTATTTTTTTTTCTCTCTTTTGGATTGGGAAAGTTGTGTTAGACCAGATTTATTGAATGCACGTGGCAGATAACTGCTTCTCTCTGTCTCATTTGCGAACAGCCCTCTGTAGGCTCTGGGTCCTGATGCTGGCAGCGCTGCTCACGCACCCACAGAGCGACGGCGGTGCTTCTTTAGCATCAGTGCTGATGGCAGCACTGGTAGCACTGCTGCACAAAGGCTGGGAAGAGAAACAGGCGTCTCACAGCCAAGCTGCTGAACGCAGAGCCGTGAGATTCTTTTTCTCTAAAATCTTCAATATAATCTCCTTTTTTGGGGACGGCTCTATGAAAGTTCATTGGAACTTTGTGAGTATTCACTCAGTGCTGCCAGGGGAAGGTTCTTGATTGCGGTTTATCCAGAATCTGGTAATGAATGTGCACTGTGGGGACCTGGGGATTTGGTGTATGGATTTCCCAGGGTCTAATCATCTCATAAGGCTGCAGAGTGTGACTCCTTCCCCAGTAATCTACTTAACTCCGTAATTTAGTCCTCCTTTCCCTGCAAGGAGAATGAATCTCACAGGTTGTTTGCATGACAAGCAGCTCGGGATTGTCTGAGGCGTGAAGAAGATGCTGGGAGTTAATTGTGGCAGCTTGTGTTAGCGGCTTCCCATGTTTGCAGGCGGGCTGAGCGAGGAGTGGAGCTGGAAAATGGATTTTGCGGGGAGGGCTGTAGCAGCACCATGTGTTTTGTTAGCTGAAATGCTAAATAAAATGTTTTGCCTCGCAAAGGATGTTCTTCCCCATCAAAAGTAATCTCGGGGGAAAGCGATGTTTGGTAGTTGGAGGATTATTGGATTTGCAGATAGAATCTGCTGTTGTAATGTCAGCTACTGACTTATGAGCGAGGCAGCTAGCTGGGAGATGGCTCTTGGCAGTGGACCATGCTGAAAATCTCCTTCAAAGTCCTTAAAACTCCAATGGACGATGCAAAAAGAAAAAGCCACGAACGCCAGCAAGAAAACATTTACAGCATCCAGGCCTCCATACAGAGAGCAAAAAGGGGCATCCTGTCAGCAGCATTCACTCCTAGGTTGTATTAGGATCTCTTAGGTTGTATTAGGATCTCTTAGGTTGTGTTAGGATCACCTTGCACCAAAACATCGCTGTGCTAAGAAATAGAAGGATAAGTGTCCTGTCTTCTCTGTTTTTAATGTGCCTCCCCTAAAGCCAATCACTCTCCTTGGAAAGGACAAGTCGTTAGAGGTGAGTTTGTTTCCCTCCTTTCCCTGGCTGTGAGGTTTGCTTTCATTGCAGACGTCTTCACTGAGCTTTCCCGAAATTCAGAGGAAACTGGAATGGTTTGGAAAAGCTCAGCATCAGCAAATGCTCCAGAGGGACGTTTAGTGGCAACATGATTAATAAGGGACACTGCTGGTAATGCTATCAAAGCAGCACTATTGCAAAAGCATCTGGAGCGTCCCTCTGTGGGGCAGTGGGCTCAGACAAATGACCGCAGCAATTTATGGGCCCCTCTGCAGCACGTGCTTCTTCTCCCACCTCCAAGTGTGAGGGGATCACCGGGCTGAGCGGATCAGTCCTAAGGAGAAGCAGTCATTAGTAAATCAGGGCATTTTTTTGGTCCCTGCTGATGGTTTGGTAACAGGGGCACAGTCCTCACTCAAACCTATTCGTTTTTTTCTGCATCCAGCAGTAGCTTAAGGAGCTCTAAAAGGGAATCATTCTTCAACAGCAACAAATGATGCAGAACATCAGGAGAAAACCGTCTTGCTTTGTGCAGGTGCTCTTGGGTCCTGCTGCCATTCCCCGGTGGGCAGGGCAGGGAGAGGGAGAGCTTACAAACTCCTCATGTTTGGGGAACGAACTGAGATGAAGTGATATTGGGATTTTCCCCCTTCCTTTGTGGTTTTCACAAAATGAAAGACAACCTCGTGTGCTACGCTGGGATAAATTCAAAATATGAAGTGAAGGAAACCAGCCACGCTGACACAGGATTCAGTGCAGCCTTCCAAAACCAAAATAGTTTTATGTCATACCCTAGCATGCAGCAGTCACAGATCTGTGTGTGGGCTTTAAGAAATGCCTTCCTTTCTTTTTTTGGAGGAGGAACTTCATTTAGCATCTAAATGATTTCAAGAATTCAGCGCAGATTGAATTCCTTCCTTCGCTGACATGAAACTTTCACGTTGCTTCCAGACGGTGGTGTTCTATCAGCCCTCTGCTCTTCAGGCTCCATTTACCACAAACTTCTCAAAGCGGTTATACAACTCAGCTTTAATTTCTTATCATGGCTCTGTAGTTGTTGGCTCCTTGGTTTGACAGAGGCTGCTTCACTCAGCCTGTTTCCCTTGGCCCTTTGAGGAGGCTCTTACAGTCGTTAGCAGCTATAAGTGGTGTTAATAAGGAGGCTCTGTGTCAAGGTTTCTACATGCAGGCTGACGCATTTCTGCAGAAACTGGAGCAAAACATTTTCTTTTGGAAAAATTGCTGTTGACTTTAAAATTAATGCAGTCTCATCTACGAATCTTCTCTGAAGATGAAGGAGCCGGGCTGAAAGGCTGAAAGCCGGTGCTCAGTACGTGGCCATTTCCTTCCCCAGGCACAAAAGAAGGTGATGGGGGCAGAGGCAGCACGATGGTGATGGAGAACATCAGAGAGGAGGTGCGGGAGGAGCTGCAGTTCTCGGCTCGCTGCAACCACACCAACATCCCTGGAGATGGATGTGGGGTCTGGGGGGCTTTGGGGCTGCATGAACGACTGCAGGCAGAGATGTAGCAAAGTAAATACGAAACATTGAGTGATTTGATGTTATTTAATGTAATTGAAGATAGAATAACATAATGACATAACAATGAAATGATGGAATAACATAATGATCATAACATAATGAAATCTAATAGAGTCCCAGTTGTCCCAGTCCAAGGTGGTGTTGGTGGACGGCCAAGGTTTGGAGAGGTAGGGCTGGGGCCGGTGCTGGTGCCCCGGGAGCACTGCTGCTGCTGCTCTGTGTGCCGCGGGGCCAGCGAGGAGCCCAGGGCTACAGGTAGCCTGAACTGTTGGCCTTTGGTTGCCTCCTGCTGCACCATGTTGTCCGGCTTCTGCAGATGCTCCCGTCTGTGCCGAGCCCACCCAGCTTCGCCTTGCGCCGCCGTTTCTGCCCGGGAGCATCCTGGCCGTGCGGCAGCTTCCTCTTCTTGGCCGGGCTGCTGCCAGTGCGCTGCTGGTGCCCGCTGGTGGTGCAGGCGGGCGCCGGGTTCTTGGCCGGCTTGGTGCCACCCTGGTGGTGGTTGCCTGGCACATGGCAGGACGTGCAGCCGGGTGGCAGTGCCAGGCGGGTGAGAAGCACCCGGGGCTGTTTCTGCTGCGCCTCCTCCATCAGACGTGCTGTGCTGGGTGAAGGAGGTGCTGGGACATCCAGAGGCATCGGCACGGGCAGCTCTGGTGATGTGCTGCAGGGTGGTAGGAAAGGCAGGCAGGGCAGCGGCCCGGAGGGCTGCCTGCAGCACGATGGATGTGTGCACAACAGGTCGCTGCTGATCCAGGCCTCTGCCTTTGCCTCTCCATTTCGCTCCCTGCTGGCCCAGGGAAAGTCAGGGAGCGCTGTGATGAATGGTGGTGTTTTTCTGCTGCTTGGGATGTCTGGGCTCGGTGGCTGTGTGGCATCAATCCACCGCAGCAGCTCTTCCCTCTCCTGGCTGTCAAGTTCAGGCAGCAGCTCATTGTTAAGTCTTGCCTCTGCTCCAATGTCAGTTCCTTTGGTCCCCCTTGTTTCGGTATCAGCAGGGTCCTGGTTCTGCTGGGGGACCTCCTGAGGACTCGCCACTTCTGAAAAAGCAAGAACATCCCCAGAAGGATGAGGACAGCCTTCCCACAGGCACTCAGTGCAGACACCCCCCCGCCAGCTCTGCAGCCCCCACACTCACCGGTGTTTAGCCATGTGAGCAGGTCATCCATGTCCGGGATGTTGTCCGGGGTCTCTGTGTTGGATGCTGCTTCTGGAAACGGAAGAAAGTCCCCGCAGGGGTAACACCAGCTTTCCCACACCCACTGAGAGCAGACAACCCCCGCCAGCTCTGCTGCCCCAAAACTCACCATTATTCATCCAAGTCAGGAGCTCATCCATGTCTGGCATGTCATCCTGGACATCCTCTGGGACCTCTGTTTTGGGTGCCACTTCTGGAAGAGGAAGAAAACCGCCACGGGGGTAACGCCAGCTTTCCCACACCCGCTTGGTGCAAATGCTCCCCCGCCAGCTCTGCTGCCCCCAGACTCACCGTTGTTCATCCAGGTCAGGGGGTCATTGATGTCAGTGATGTCCTCCTGGATGTCTGGGCTCATTGTCGCTGCTGGAAAAGCAAGAACACCCCCAGTGAGGCAATGCCATCTTTCCCACAGCCACCCGGTGCGGACAGCCTGCCGCCCGCTCTGCAGCCCCCAAACTCACCACCTGATTCCAGCGCTGCGCTGCTGCAGGTGAGCGGAGCCTCGGTTGGACTTGGGCTCACCGGAGGTCCTCGGAGAACAGTTGAGGAGCCGGGGCGGTCGGGGCCCTGCAGCGGGCAGCTGCCTGCGGGCTGCGGGGGCTCCCCATGGAACGCAGCCCCTTGCTGCAGCCCCGTCGGCTTCTGGGGCTGCTGTGTCCCTGCCACCAGAGGATGATCCCGGAGGTGGGCAGGGGCAGTGGGGGCAGGCATACCTGGCTGCATCTCACCAGGTATGTGCATGACCAGGGGCAACTGCTGCCCCCTAGGTGGCAGCTGACCTACAACTGTGGGCATCCCCCCAGGTGGCAGCTGACCAACATTTAGGGGCATCCCCACAGCTGGGAACTGACCCACCATTAAAGGCAGCCCCCCAGCTGGGAGCTGCACTCCCTGTCCCTGGACGTGTGATATCCCAGGCCAGACAGAGGCCTGAGGCACCACGTAGGTGACACTGGGGACAGGGATGGGTTGGAAAGACACCGGCACAGCTGCGATGCCGAAGGTGGGCTGCATTGCAGCAATGGCCGGTGGTGGCACAAACGATCCAGATAACACAGCGTCGGGTGTCAGAAGCACCGTCAGCAACCGTGAAGGAATTCTCTCTGTGGAGAAATGCCCAGATGGGCGCTGGGTGAGATCTGGGGCACTGGCATCCCCTGGAGGGCCGCCGTGCCAGGAGCAGAGGGAGCCTGCTGCCTTACCTGCCAAGGTAGCTCGAGAGTGGCAGTGGGGGGTTCCGTGACCGCTGGGGTCAGCCCCTCTCTGCTGAGCTCACAGTGCGCCTCTCTGACAATGGTCCCATGGTGACACAGGCATTGCTCTGTGCCTGCCCCATCACCAGCACATGCTGCAGCATGGAACAAGTGTGGGGAGCTATGGCCTGTCTCATACTCCTCCTCTTGATGGCTGTAACTTACTTTAATGACTGTGCTGCTCTGTGGCCAGCACCAGCAGCAGGTGGGTGAGCAAAAGTGAGTGGCATGGGGGGCAAGAAGTCAGGCTGTGTCCCTACGGCTAGATGGCAGGCTGCCCTGGGGCTGTCCTTGCATGGGGGACGTGCTGGGCAGGGGAAGGTGGCCAGCACCCAGTTCCCAACACAGGGTCCCCCTCGGCCCCCAGCAAAAGGGAAGAGCCAGGCACGTTTTCCTCCTGTGCTGTGGTTTCACATTCCGGGCTGAAAGGTGTTGGAGATTCTTGGCCTTTTTTCAGCGCTGCATTTGAGATGCTCAGCTCTTGCCCACTGCAGCACTGCCTTTTGGGGATGTCCCTGCCATACCATTCTTCCTGAAGTGGTTTTGATGGCTCAGTGAGTACCTTTCTCAGAGCACAGCCAAGCATATCTGCTGCTTTGGCTTCATCCAGAGGGAGCCAGGAGCATTCGTAGGGGTTTGCCAGCCTTGTATTATCAAAGCTGTGAGCAACTTGCTCCGAGTGGATGTTGACTGTTCTTTGAGCATTGGGTTGCACTGGAAACCAATGGTGCCTTTCCTCTTGAAGGTTTTATGATTTAGGACTTACTGTCTTCTCTTTGGATTGACCAGATCTTGCTGTTCAAGTGCTGGATTCGCCTTGTGTAACCATCTCCTGGTGGACAGATTAATACTTGCGAAGCAGTTTTCATCATCTGCTCTTGATTTATGTTTGCAGCCTGTGCCATCACTCTGAGTTCCGTCTCTTCTGGCTCTTGACTACATCAGACTTTGATGCTGAGGAAGGCTGGTAGCATCCTGCACTTAGCTGGCCTTAATTCTTGAGCCTGGTGGCACTCTGCTGTGACTGGAGAAGCTCCTGGCCTAAGCCGAGAACATCAGTGATAAAAGTGTGGTAGTCGTGTACCTGAAGGTTCCTCTTTGAGGTTCTTCTCCAAGGCCTGTAGCAAATGGAGGCAGACGCAACGAGTGAAGCAGTCGGAAGAACAGTTCAGACTTTAGGTCAACACGGAATGAAAAAGTAAAAAAGAGAGGTGGATGTGTGTAAGCTGTTCAGACATTGCACGCAATCAGTTTTCATCTGCGGCTCTTTAAATAAACGGCAGCCAAATTTGGAACCCGTGTTTGTTCAGATGTCGTGGATGCAGGGGGAATTCTTTCCGAGCCTCACCCCACAAAGCATCATCTTTGCAGGTAGGTTTACATCAAGTGAATGGGCTGGAGCCGAGCTGCACAGTGCAGGTTCGTCAACCACGGCAGCAGCTGTGTGTGATGGGGCATCCTGGTGGGTTCATGTGTAAGGCTGGCACTCATTTCATTCTTGACTCTTTTGTACCCATTTGTAATTTTTATTATTTTTTTTTTAAAGAAAAAAAAAATCCATGCTGCCTTTGAGCTAGAGTTTCTCAGACTTAAGTCTGTGTAAAGATGATTTATGGTGCTACTAGGGGCTCCACTGGAAATGCAGGATCTATTACGAAGTGGGATTGAACAGACCATGCTGAAATGTTTATTGCCTTCTTCAAAATAGAATACATCAGGGTTGATGGTGCCTGTCCAGGAAAGAGAGAGAGTGGTGTAGAGTGGGGCTGCTGGGGTATTTTTAGTATTCCAATAAAAGACAAGGCTTTTAAAGGAAATCACTTATTGCCATTTTGCAATCAAGAATGCAGGAGTGTTCCAGGGACTGCAAGAAATATGCTTCAAGAATGTCGTGCCCATAAGGAACTAATCATTAAATATTCTCTCTTTTCCACCCCCGTTTCTTGCTCTGAGGAAGCCATTGAGAAGCTTTGCAATTTGTATGTAAATCTCAGCCCTTCTGACCACGCAGTTCAGCATCCAAGCGACTTAGGAGCCAGCATCCCATTTTCAGGAGTTCTTACAATTCCTGAGCAAGTAGGGCACTTTTTAAAATAAAAGACACATGGACCAGGCTTCAAGAACACTTAATCTGACCTGAAATGACTTGGTGTGAACAGTATATGATGGTTTTGTGCTATAACTCACCCTCCTTGGTCAGCGCCTTGCTGGTAAAGTTCCTCCCGCAGGTTCAGATAGAGCAGCAAAGCTGCAGTTCTGTTTCTGCAGCTTATTCCTTCCATTGGACTGCCTTGAGCTGTGATTTCTTTATTTTACTTATTTTACTGTTGCCTTCAGGCATAACGCTGCTTGTCGATGCTTTAAACATTTCAGAAGCATTCTGGCACTATAATGCATCCATCTCACCCAGTAACCCCAGCATTTGGTGGAGTGAAAAACAAAGGAGGAGGCAAAAGATAATACCTCCTCAAGTGATTTAAGAGCCTTATGGGGCGATTTACTGATGTGTCTGAGCAGATCTGGGGCTACCTGCTCCCTCTCCCCACGCTCCCATCTCTTTCCTTGTGCTGGCACAGCATCCTGGTGGGCCGGTTCAGGGAGCTATAATGGCAGAAAACTGACCCTACCAAAAACAAAGCCGGGGTGTCAGCGCAGCGGCAGATGGACACAGGCAGATGTCCCTTCTGTGCCAGGCCAGCAGAGCAATCCTTTCATTTTATTTACTTTTTTTCCCATTTGTTTTTACTGGAGGAACAACAGCCCCCCACTGGGATCATCTGTCGTGTCCCTGCATAGCGCTGCCCCAGGTAGCGGCTTGGGGTGGCGGTTCCTTTTGGGATCCATTGGGGGCTGCCAGCTGGGCTGCAGCCCTGTGCCAGTGTGAGGCTGGGGAAGGAGCAAAGGATGGATGGATTTGAGGAGGAGCTGCGACTCTGGGATGTAACCCATCCTGGCCCTGCTGCCTGTGCAGATTGGTAAAGGCTGGGGAAAGATTTTTAGCGAAATGAGGGGAGATTTAGGTTGGATGTGAAGTGGAAATTCTTCACTTACAAAGCAGCGAGACCCTGGCACTGCTGCCTAGAGCTGTGGGTGCCCCATCCCTGAAGGTGCCCGAGGCCATGGATGGGCCCTGGGCAGCCTTAGCTGGGGGAAGGTACTCAGCCCCTTCCAACCCAACACAACCAAGGTCCCTTCCAACCCACCCCAACCCAATGCAACCTAAGTCCCTTCCAACCCAACCCAATGAAAGTCCCTTCCAATCCACCCCAACCCAACCCAACCAAGGTCCCTTCCAACCCAACCCAAACAGCCTTCCAACTCAACTATTTCATGATTCCCTGCTGGTTTTCGCATATGTATGCTGGAAAAGAAGAGTTCAGTGCCACCTGTGTATTGGTTGGACTCACTTGAGTGAGCCTGGTCTAAAGGCAGGGATTTGTAGGGTCTCTCCCAGGCTTGTTTTGTTTCCTTTCTTCTGGGAAGGCTCAGTGCATGCTGCTGGTTTTCAGACTTTCACAAGTCCCGTTCCAAACTGTAACACAGTTGTTCAGAAATGCAGCCCAGTTCTTGACTGATCTTGTTTCTTGGCATTGCTTATGTAAGGGAAAGGATGCTAGAGAGCTTGGAGAAGGGAAAGTTGGAAAGTGTGCGTGCTTATTTAATTTTAAGAAAAAGGAAGAAAAATAAGCTACATGCAAAAAAATCCAGTAACCGTGTCTGCCGATGACCTTTGGGTTTGGAAATAGTTTGATAATAGTGTGAGGACAGGCAAGGAAAGTCTGTGAAGTCACTCGAGCAAGAGCAAAAGGAAAAAAACATGAGCACGTTTCCAGCTTCGTGCATGCTGGGGTCTGGGTGATGTCCTGCGTTGGGCTGGCTGTGTGCAGCCTGTGCTCCCCCTGCACACATCACCAAAAGCATCAGGCAGAGCTCAGTGGAAGCTGCCAGGTTTGACTGGAAGTAAAATAGGCTGTATCAGGGAAAGCACCAGCTAGGGGCTCCTGCGTGGAACGGTGGGCTTAAATTGTTGGTGTTTGCTGGGCATGGTTTGTGAACTTTCAGCTTTTCCCTCTTGCTGGATTTGCGTCCGCTCTTTGTGCGCTGAGGACTGCAGTAAGTGGTTTTATTAGCAAGTCATCAGAAGAGTTTGCAGAAGGCGTCGCTTGGACATGTGTGAGTTGTTTCAGTGCTCTGTGACTCAGTAATGCCGTATCAAATGTACGTGGCACTGCCTGCCCCTCGTAGCCCTGTGTGACAGCTCACAGTTCACCCAGCTCCCTAGGGGGACGCCTTACCACAGTCCTGCTCTTGCTGTGCCCTCGACCTGTCTTCAAACACAAACAAATGCTACACCTCTCTCTGAGCTGCAGTTCTGCACCGTGGAAGGGAAATTGTCTCAGCAGTCCTCAGCTCCACCAGAAACCTTCCTCAGCCGTGCCTGCTTTCGTCTGTGTCTCCCCTTGACACAGGAGGTGGATGAGCTGTATCTTAGGGAGACCTGTAGAGGCATCACCGTGTTTGCATTTTCGTGGCACCTCGAGCTTTGGATTGCAGGCATCAAGGAGTGCCAGAAGCACAGATTCCCTTGGTGCAGAGTGAGCAGTGGCTGTGCTGGAGATGTGAGAAGTGGTGGAAGCCCACTGGTGGGAGGGCTGCACTCAGCTCCTCTGGCCGTGGCAGCTCATTTGAGGTTGGGTTTTTACAAAATACGCATCGCTTTCTTGAAAGAATGTGGGATTTCACTGCAAGTGCTCTTGGAAGTGGTTCAATGTGCTATCTGGCATGTGTTTGTAATTTGAAAAATAGATTAGAAGAGAAGCAAATTGAGGTCTAACAATAATGGGTTAAGGGAAACGCTCATCTCACCTCCTGCCGTTCTGTTGGGCTGTGCATGTGGTTTGGGACCCGAACGCTGGGGATCATTTGATCACTGAAGAACAACAGTTTTGGATTTAAACCCACTTTGCCTCTCTTCTGAAACCAGCTTTGCCATTTGTTTCTGCCCCGCTGTCGTTTGCCCGCAGTGCTGCTGTCGATGCATTGCGACCCGATGGAAGGCTCATGCTAACAGCATCACACTGCAGAGAGAGGAGCACGGCAGCAAAATGCAGCTTGTCATAGCATAGAATAGCAGTCAGTGAGGTTGGAAATGACCCTTAAGATCACCCCAGCCCAGCTCACTGTGCCACATCCCACTGCCACATCCTCCAGTGCCACATCTCCACTGTTCCGGACACCCCAGGCACGGTGATGCCACCACCGCCATGGGCAGCTGTGCCACTGCATCACCACTCTTTGGGAGAAGAACATTTTCCAAATACCCGGCCTGAACCTCCCCTGAAGGGGATGTGGGAACCACCGTGGCCCAGGAGTTCCTGCCTGGAGCAACGCCTGTGCATTTGGTTCTGTTCACACATTTCACCTAACGTTGCATGGGTAACTCTGAGTGCAGGATAACTCCCGAGCTTTTTGTCCTACACAGGAATGACCTAGCTCTGTCTCTCTTCCAAACAAGGAATTAATAATGCAATAGTTGTTGTTTCCAAAGAGCTTAGCTTTCATGAGCAGTGTCTCCTTTTTTCCCTCAGACCCAATGAAACACATGGGCGTTGGAGCCTTTAATAACCCTTCTCGGAGCCTGGTCTTGATTTGTGTGAGCGCTGCCAATGATTTCCATGTCAGAGCTGAGAGGTACGAGTGCAGTGTTGAATTTCTGGGCTGACCAAGGGAGGTCAGAAGCAATAATGCTGGACTCCCCGGTGGACAGGCGTGGGACAGCACACAGCCACGGCGCTTTGCACAGCCCCAGCACAGGTTTGGCTGTCACAGAGCTAATAAAGAGCAGGGCCTCCAGGGAGACGGCTGCAGTGATGCAGGTGTAGGGATCGGGGAGTGTATTTACATACAAGCCGGCTTAATAGCGTGGGATTTGTGCTAAAGTGGTTCTTAATGCAATACAAATTGCATGCCCTGTCTCACTTGAAGGCAGGAGGATGTCAGGGGGAGAGGCTTTATAGCTTTTGGGGGAGAAAGTGGCTTCTTTTAGGGAAGGCGAAGGGCGGCAGGATGGGTGTGCTGGGTGCTGGATGAGCACATCAGGGGCAGGAGTGGGGCTGTGCTGCCCTGACAGGTTGGGGCTGGGAATTGGGCAGCAAATTAACTCACTGAGAAAGTAGATAAAGGTGTTGGCTTTTTTTTTTTTAACACTGTGAGGTTAGAATGTCCATAAAGAAAGCAGCCCAGCCTCTGGTTGCAGCTCCATCCTCTCCCTGCTTCCCTCCCGCCCCATAAAACAGCCATTATGTGTTTATAAGTTAGCGCTCCGTGTCTGGTATAAATGAAGACTTGTTCATAAACTTCTGGAGAGACAGTTCGGTGGGAATAGAGCTTTCTTGGCACAAAACAAGCGGCTTTTTCCAGATAATGTAATGCTATACGAGGCTTTTTAAAGTCCTAGCATGCTATTTATTATTTTTATACTATCTATAAAAGACACCAGTGCTGAGGATGGCACTGCACTGAATTGAGCAGTGGAA